CATTGTACTTCTCTGGAAACTTCTAGTTTCTTAAAATTATTATGTCTCTGGTTGTAGAGTTATTGGATTGCTAATACCATCAACTATATGAAGTTAATATGATCTAGTTATTTAAGAAAAAATCTTTTGAAATCTCAGGGAAAAAGAAAGCAAACCTATGAGAAGCTCTATGCTTTTAGTAATAGAATTAACTTTTTTTTTTTCTGAACTGGCAGAAAATAGATGTTGTTACCAATGATCCAACCAGCCTAGTGTAGGCCATTGGTTGGGGACAAAATTTAGTGCAAGATTCTTTTCAGCTTCTGGATAAAACATCAAAACAATGTGGAAGTGGAAATATATGAAACTTTACCTTGTTTCTTCATAATTGTGTATCACTTTGATGCAAGAAGAAAAAACTGAAAGACCACTTACAAGGACAGTGTGGAGTCACATCCATTTCTATTCCTTCCAGCAAATATATTCTTCCCAGCACCTACTTAAAGCATCTCTAAACCTTCAATATTCTCTTGAAATCTATTTGATTTTGAGTTCCAGCATCTGTTTTGTAGGATGACCTGCATAGGTCATATTTCAGAGACTCTTCTTAGTTAATAAAAGTTTCTTCTTATTTGGAAAAAAAAAGGTATTTGAAAGTGCTCATGACAGGATATTCTCATTCATTATGGCTGACTTACCTGTTTATTACAATATATCTCAGTTAATTACTGAGGAGGCATTGGCTTGAAATGTTCTCCATCTGGGAAGCTATATATGAAGAAAGTTTTTGATTATTAAGAACTATGAAAAGTTCCAAGTGAGATCTCTCTTCATTGAATTGGTTTCAAGTTCCTGCAGGAATCACTGGTTACTGGAGATAAGAGCTTACAGATCGAACACAGACGGTGCTTCCCTTTCGCAGGATGGAGGCATGGGATTTGTCATCGGAAGGCAGCAATACTTCCAAGGCCAAACTACTGTGCACTGTGAAACTCTTGCCGTCAGATTTGGCCTGCAATCATCAATTTCAAGAAATATCACCAATCTATCGATCGAAACTGACTCCTCTACCATTGTTGATCTGCTGATCGAAGACAGGGAAAACTCCTTGGGCCATTGCTCGCACCATAAGACATCGAGGAGCTGCTACACCAACTACACTCATATACCATTACCCATTCTCTGGACTGATTCATTGTCTTTCCCTTGGGCCAAAGCTTACCTCTTTTCTATATGATGAACTCCATAGGTCTTATTGTCGAACTTTTCTTTAATTCTGTACTCATGTCCTGATCAAGAGCTGGAATTTCTTCTTTTTTAAGCGCAGATTAATGCAGATATCATTAGCCATGTCTGCTGATGTATATAATTTCTCAGCTGAATGTCTTGATGAATCAAATGAGAGAAACTTCTGTTGTGATCTTAGCAGTTTGCCATCACTGATTTCATTGATCCAAGTATCGAAAATTTTCTTATCGAATATAATTGTGTGTGTGTGAAAATATTCTTAGTTCTACCTTCTTTTATGAAATAGCAGAGAATGATCTCTCAGTTCTTCAAACTCTGCTAGCAATTGGATTCAGTGGGCATAACTGTTGCTGCAATCTACTAATTACTCTCTCTAACAAGTTAGCCACCAAAACTACCAAAGCAATCATCCCTTGATCAAGATCACTTCTGATCCCAGAGTGCCTGAAACATATCACCAAACACATTTCACCGTCTTGATTACTATTGAATGCCTGAAACATATCCTGGAAGAAGGATTTAGCGGTATAATCCATTTGAACTTATGTGCTTACAGGCCGACACAATCTTTATTCCGCAGGCATCAAATTGTAAGCCATCATCACATGAAAAGGTCAACTACTCGGACGTTGCAAGCATATATATAGAGAGGTTGACTTGTCACAGAGGGCCGAAAGGTTCAGGAAGCTGCCCGAACCTGTAGTCGAACAGTGGTCTCTGATCACTCTTATCTTCCGTGCTGTGCAGCCAATTCATGTTCTTGGAATCCTCTTTCAGCAGAATCGCATCGCACCGTGAGCTCTCGTAGAGATCCAGCTTGCACTCTCTTTCCATGAAAGGCTCATTTGGAGGTCTGACGGCAAGATCGCCATTGCTCATTGCAGCTCCGTTGCAGTCAGCTGCTACTGAGCGACCGGGCCGGAGTTTCTGGGCGGCGGAACGAATGCTTTGAGGGAAGAGGGCGGCGCCACGCAGGCCGCCCATGCTTTGCCGGATGTCCTACAAGAAGTTTGCAGTCTGTGAAATCTAGTGCCGGATTCTTGATGGTACGACCGGATTTGGATTGGAGGAGGAGCTAACCATATGCTTGAGCGCCATGTCCATTGACTTCTTGGAGATGGAACGGCCGAAGCCCGCGGTGTTCTCCGTCGGTGAAGCGGGCTTTGTAGGTCTCCGAGCTGCAGGCTCTGACGCCAATGATTTCTTGTTGTCAGCTGCCTTCACCTCGTTCACCCTGTTGCCCATCCGATTACCTGATGAGTTCTCCTGAAGCCTGCCTCTGGCGATGACAGGTGAGGACGACTGCCTGCGGACCGCACTCACCGCAGCAGCGGCCTCGGAGTTCGAAGTTGCTCGAACCGCCAAAGCCGTCCCCGGTCGCTGCCTGCCGGCGGAGACGGCTCGTTCGGGCACCTTCGTCCGAAGATTCGGTGGCGCTTCAGACGGAATGTCAGGGACAGTTCGGGCTCGTGGCGCCGGGGAGCTCGGACGCATTACGGGACTGGATTTCCTGTTGTTTGTGGCAGGAACGCGGCCGACGGAGGCCGAGCGGGTTATCGCTGGAGCCGCGGCTGGCGTCGTCGCCGCGCGACGAATAGGAGTTGACGGTCGAGTTGCTGCGGCGCTCGAGCTGGAGTTTGAGGTATTGGAGGGAGCCTGAGGTCGAACAGTTGGCGCCGCAGTCCGAAAACTCTGAGACGGCCGTGGCTTATCCATGGAAGAAGGCAGGGATGGTCTGGCTTTGACAGGGGTCGGTGACCTTGACGGTGCTGATTGAGTTGAGCGAGTAGCAGGGGTTGTAGGTTTGGAAGTGACCGAGGCCGTGCTGGTGTCGAGGACCGCCGTCCTGCTGTTGTTGGATAAGTATGTGGAGGACGAGTATGCGTTGGACATGGAAGACCGTGTGGTCGAGCTGCTTCTCGCAGGCTTCGCAGAGTTGGCATTCTCTGACCGAGACACAGAGAGCTGCAGGACAAATCACCACGGGAGATTGTTGAGCTTGATCTGAAGAAAGTCCTCATGCAAAATCTGAATTGACCATAACATGGAACACAAACAGCTCACCCTCGAAGCTTTGTCAGTTGACGCTGATCTAGGATTGGATCTGCAACCTGGATTTGCTCTAGATTTTTGGTCGTCAGTAGCTTTCGAGAAAGTAAAGAGAGGAGTTCCAGGAGGAGTGAGAAGCCTGTCAGCATGCAATTCAGATCAGACTTGCAGTTAGCTTCACAAGTCTTCAATTCAGTGTTGTGTTTGTCCTACTGTCTCGATCAGATCTGACAACCATTTGCTATAACAAGGTTCGTCGGCATGCATCGCGTAAAATCTAGATAGATCCTGAGTGAAATCATTCTAAAAACTCAACTTAAAATGGTCTCTTACTCTCTTCAACACTAGATTATGTTCACAACCTTTTCTTGGCCTTTCTTTCCTCGTACCTTAATATGAGAATTTGGTGTATTTCTGGTTAAATGCAGCATGGTGTTGCTGCAAAGAACATATCATTGGAGAGTTATATGCAGATGAAAAATGCAATCAACTAACTACTAATGTGAATTCATCCAAGTTTGGCATCATTCGAATCTGATAATTGGAAACAGATCTTCTAATCTTATACTCATCGAAACCTCATTGTAGACACTGCAATCTTAGCCAAGAAACTATTAATTTCTTGAAACTTGTGAGAAATGTCTGCTAACTAAAAACTCTGCTGATCTTAGAAATTGAGATCTTGACAAAGAATTAATGCTTGTGATGCAGGCATATCAGAAGTGATAGATAGATACAATAGCTTGGAGAACATATGGAGAACTTGAATCGAAGAAGGGATGGTTTATGATCACTCACCAATCATAATCATGCTTCCCAACGTCAGCAGACAAGAGGTCATCCATTCTGCTCTTCATCAAGGATCCCTTTCCTGTTCTTTCTTGTGTGATTGATACTGCAACAGTCACCACAACAACATTTCTCCAAGTAACACAGCAGAACTAAAGTCTTTCTAGATGCTTGAATTTTCAGTAATAGAAAAGAGATTCAGCGAATCAAAAAATGAAATTTTCAGTAAATCTTTTGTTGTTCAAAGATAGAAGAAGATGCATTAAGTTGAATGGAATCTTTCACACGCAGATCCTCACCTTTCTGATGGTCAGATCCATGATGTGAACTAGCTCTGTTCTGGTGTATCCTCCAGAAGAGATCCAGGCTTTCATCTCCTTCCTTTGTTCCTCCTCCGCAAAACTGCTGCACGTTCCTCCCTCCCGTCGGTGGCCCTGTCCCTGTCCTGTTCATCTGTCGAAAGCATCAAAGTGGGTACCGAGTGTGATGCAAGTTGCTTCAGTTGCATGTCTTCATTCCATCTTATCTGACACCAGAAGTCCTTGAGAGAAAGAGAAATAAGGTAAGGAGGAATTCTCCTCAGATCTGAGTGTGAGAGGGTGGCAAGGAAGGACCATTAAATGGATCAGAGAAAAAACTGTGATAAAGCATGTGTACTTTAATCTTTTCTGCTACCTTCTCTACACTGTAAACTGATTCCCACACCTTTTATGCCTTCTCAAAGTTTTACCAGAGCTTCCTGGTTTGTCTTGTTCATGTGATGTCCAACTGTTCTCCAATGACATTGGATTATGTTGCATGAATATAGGGAAAATTTTCTTGGTGGTGCTGTTTTGTCAACCTCACTGCTGACAATTGAGGCCTATCAGACTGACAGATATCTGAAACCTTTGCAATAAGAGCTGTGTAATCAAGGGATTGGAAATTAATGTTTTAGTGGTCTAGATGATGGTAGTTGGACCTTATTGGGATTCTTCCCCAGAGAGAATTGAATATTTATCTTTTTGTTGTGAATCTGTGCTTGTGAATGGAGTTTAATTTGCAGTGATCATCCAGAGATAACAGAGAACTCTTAGGATCAAATGGCAAAAATAATTACAGGGTTTCCCCACTAGTTGTCAAGATGAAGTCTAAAAAGTGCTGGAGATGAACACAAACAAGTTTGTGACTTTTACTGGAATGGTTAAGAATGCTCTTCCTCTGGGCAGTTCTATCTCTATTTCCTGATATGACTTCCTTTGGCAACCTCCAGTGAGCTTTCAAGAAGCTGCTGAGAGTGTTTATCAGTCCATCCACAGTGGTTGAGACTTGGTGAAAGGGAGAAGGAGGACAACCAATGATGGGATCATGATAAGTAGGACAAGGAACCATTTAGGTTCAAGCACCTTGATGACACTTTGTGATCCACCTTCTTATGGCACTGGGGGAGGCTTCCTTAGTCATCAGGTCTCAAGGTCACAGACATGTTCATGTGCCATGTCTCTATCTCACAGTGTCCTCATTTAATGAATCATTTGGAGCTCGGACTGGACCAGTGTGGTCCATTGAGTTAAGCCAATTTAATCTCATCTCAGCTGGATGAGCAGCATGAACTGGTTTGTCTACGAAGGAGATCTTAGCCGTTCGATGCTCGTAGGACGGTTCCTGATTGTGACGGCACATGATTGTCTTTTGAGCTCGAGTTTGGTGAATCATTTGTGGGTTAGATTCTCTGCTCATTAAGGAAGAGTTCAAGGCTCCAAACTGAATACAGACCTGCACAAACATGCAATGCATCCTAGGAATCATAATGCTGCAATCAAGATCTGACCCTTTCCAAGTAAAGTGGCAAACTGCTTTCCCTTGATACTGAAAACAAGGTTCAAAAACAGGTTATTCTGAAAGATTGTTCTCAAGATAACTAAGTACTTTTTTGCTCCATGTAATTCAAAGTTGGAAACAGATCGACTGATTAAAAGCTTTCTGTCTTTGCCAAGTTAGAATCTATTAGAGGTAATAGATGAAGAATGAACAGCTTGATATTGTTTATTGGCAGCCTTGTTCTTGACAATTCAACTGTCTTTGCAAGGTTAGCTTCAGAACTAGAAATCATTACTCGAGATTTTTACTGCCAAGAATTGAGCACATGAATCTGAAGAATCAGTTGCAATGTGTCTCATTTAGCACAGGTTCTTGATGAAAGTGAGATGATATGCATCAAGGACATCTTTTCTCAAAAGAAAAAGGCAAGGCAATGATGGAGATCAGAAACACTGTTCAGAGGACATGATCATGTGGTTTGGGTACATGGAACTTATTTAATGAATGATGTTATAACTTATATATATATATATATATTATAATATAATCTAATATAATATAACATAATATAATATTATATAAGTGGTGTTCTTTGTTTTTAGCCCTGAAGTATCTCTCATCCTTTCTGTCAAACTATCTAAACAGACTCTCAAGTCATTTCTCCTATTTTAATTTTTGTCTCGTACCTTAAGAATGAAGTTGACCCTCCGAAGACAATAGGAAAATTGACGAAAAGGAACTTTTAACTTAATTATTCAGCTAAAAATAATAATCTCCTGTACTTTCATAAAATACTTTGAATTCTTTATATAAAAAAAAAACTTGTTATCCATTTATCCACCAATGAAAAGTAAACTTTTAGTGTATATATATATATATATATATATATATGTTCAAGATTATGCACAAAAAGGAGAAAAGATAATTTTGATTTGGAAATAAAAATTTGCACCCCACAAAATTAAAAGCATTTTTTTGACAGATCATATAGATTTGACTTAGCTATAAGTCAATTGAGGTATTGGCTTGTAATTGTCTTCTACTGTATATTTTGATGCATCCATTTTACTAATAATATGAAAAATAATAGAATTGGTTATCATGGGGAATCAACTTAATGAGTGTTGATCATAAAACTTCTTCAAAATGAAGAGAAAAAAATTAACAATTAGCATTATTAAGGCTCATAACAATATAGGATCTAAGATTCCTCAAAGTTATTATTGTACTGATATCATACTGATTTATAATGTCATTACAGGTGGTGTTCTTGAGGATCAAGGTTGATAGGTCAAGAGTTAGTACACCTCTACTGAAAAGCAAACGACTCAATAAACTTCACACTTAACTCCTCCCTCTTGTCCTAATATTTCTTCTTACTTTAGATCCTCCTCCATAGCTGCCCAAGGATGTCGATGACTCATCTTCCTTCCCAGACTCTCAACCTCCTATAGAGATAAACCCAACCTACTCATGCTACGTGGGGTACCATTAAACAAAAGGTTAAGGTTTTTGAGAAATTTTGAAGCTATGCTTTGGTTCTACTAACATTTTTTCTGATTATTTATTATTTTTATATTCATTTTGCATCCACCTAATTAAGCTTTAATATAGTCTGTTATTGTTATTGTTTTTTTTTTGAAAAAAACACTTTGCTCCTTTGTTCATCAAGTTGTGGAAACATATTGATCGAATGTGCCACCTAACTCTTTGGTGGGTATAGCCACAAGGTCTTGACAAGACTTGTGACTTCAGACATATCACCATCGATAAGGGTCAGTCTTATTAGTGAACAAATATGTTGTGATTGGTAAATCACGATTGCGACGTGCTCTGATCCGACTGTAGCACGGTATGACATCGATTGTGATGTGTCTTGGATTCAAAATATATATTATCAAATCTCCTCGAGATTATTAGTATATCAGTTGTCATAAATTACACCGTAAATTAGTTCGATTATGGGTAGAATTCTTTTTTCCTTTTTCTTTTCCTTCTCATCTGTTAGGAGAGAGAAAAAAAGATCGCACGTAGCAGGAAGGGCCCACATGTTCACATGATAAGCATTTAATGTTACTTAGTGCAATGTATATCAATAAATTTTCAGAAAATAATAGAAAGAAGACATATGATATTAGTTTTGTTCAAGGCTACTGAAGATATTTTCAAATTTGATCAATACTTGATAAACTTTATCAGGAAATAGGGTATTAATTAGGGATATCATCAAAAAAATTATTTCATATAAGTAAATTTTTATTATCTTAAAATATAATTAATAATCATATTATCTTATAAACATAATTCATCATATTTAAAAAAATTATGAATGAATTCTCGAAAAAAAAACTCATACTTTTTAAAATTTTTCATTAAATAATATTTTTTTAAATAATCATTTTACTCTTATTGGCCATTGTCCTTCGCCCATCGCTTCGTCGCATCTTTACCTTGTTTCGGAAATTCACCCATAAACTATTCATATGGAAAGAAAATAAAATTATAACAAGAGAGAATTGAAGCATATGTTAGAGTCATCAGACAACTTCTTACAAATAACTAGAATCATCAAATACAATGCAAATGATTCGATCACCACTTCAAATTGAGTTGGACTCAAACGAGATATTTAATTTATACTTCAGCATAAGATTACCAGTCAACAAGGCACACAGGGGGGTTGTGGAAACAGAGAGAGAGAGAGAGAGAGAGAGAGAGAGAGAGGGCATGCCCATTGTGCAGAGCATTGGTGAAACCAGCGGCAGGACTCAGATCATTTAACGATGGTTCCCGCAAGAAGCCTATTTTGCTGCTTTGTTGTAGAAGAGCAAGTTTAGTTGGGACGCCAAATTATGGTCAGAGATTAGCAGCGCAGCGTTGTGTGCTTGTTCGTGTTCATCTTCTGTATGTCCCAACAGCACTCCCTGCTACCGATTCCGGATTTGATGAGGCAGGCAGCTGTTGTCTCCACAGAGCTCCTACACCGTCTCTTAGGCGTAAAAGATGCCGCCCCTCAGCATGTTTGCAAAGTATATGAATGTATTTGTTAGTGAACAGTACGTAAGTTCGGGTCATCACTACACGTCCTTCTTTTTGCTCATCCATGCTAACTTTCATAACGACGTGTAAAGAGACGATCGTTTGCTCCACTAAATTTTTCGTGTGATGGCAATGGGACGGTCTCTTTCACGTAAGTTTAGAGAAGCTGTCGGATGATATCAACATCTCACAGACACCACTGTTTCACATGCCGGCAAAGGTTTTGTCGAGTCTGGTGAAGACATGGCCGAGCACCTGAATACGGATGACGGCTACAGCAGCAGCAGCACTTCATTGCAAGCCATGATAAATGTCATGATGAAAAGGACTGTGGGTTGGACGAATATGCCCAGATGTGTGAATAATTAAAAGCAATGTTTTAGCACAAATTTGTGCAGCAAAATGAATGACCGAACCCCAAAAAAAAAAAAAAAGGGTATAGTTTACAACAGCAGTTGGAAACACTGTACAAACGAACACTATTGACCAGCAAACAAACCGACACAATAGATGATGCCAACAGAACTAGAATGACCAAGTTGGTATCACCATCTGATATGATCACCAGCGGATACAGTCAGTATTGCAATATCAAATTCGATACAACCCTGATTTCAGGCGGCCGATTGAGGTGGCAGAGTTGATTTCGTCGGAACAGAGAGTGGGGGCTGCATCGGAACAATAGGACAGTCTTCTGGCACGATGATAGAAGGCAAGGGTAGTAAAGATGGCTGAAGAGTGGCAGGGCTACTGTTTGTACGAGCGGGGGCTAGCGGTGTCGAGATGAAACCTGTGCTTGCTTCGGAGGCAGCCCGCGTCAGAGTTAAGGAAGCATTAGGAGTCATGTACACCTCAGTGACCTCCTCAACACCTTCGTCCACATAAACAACATCCTGCATTGTGAGTTGGTGGTACTCCACGATTTCCCTTAGAAATCTGTTCTCCCGTGCATATATAGAATTCTCATGTGCCAGTCTTGCCTTCTCGACCAACAAAGTCTCCAACTGAAGTCGAATCTGGAAAGAAAAAGCAACAAGCAACAGAAAGATTTCTGCATTAACAGAACTGACTGAACCATGGTTTTGCTATCTATTCAATGGAATGGTGCGGATTTATATAACTCATAAATGCTTCAAACAAATAACTATGCATTAAACCTTGGTCTTACTTGAAAAACAAGCAAATTGTTAAAGTATAGCATCAAAGATACAAACATATTCAAACGACAAGCAACTAGCAGAACTCATATGAGGAAACCTAAAGATGAGAACACACACACACACACACACACACACACACATATATATATATATATATATATATATATTCAAAAGACAAGCAACTAGCGTAACTCATATGGGGAAACCTTGACAAAACACCTGAAAACTAAAGATTGAGAACATATCCAAAAGATGGCTGTATACTACTATACTCTTAGAACAGCTAAAAATGCAGACCAAAAGGGTGTTAGCAGAATATGAACTATATAGATTCAGCTGTGCCAGTATAATGAAGCTTATTCTGTGTACTTCATGCCAGAACAAATATATAAGAGTGATACCCCTGCATAGCATTCAATAGAATACAGTTAGGAGGAAACAGTTAAATAGCATGAAGTTGCCCACTGCAAAAACGTGTTTTATAGAGACGCAACATCTGAATGCTCTTAGAAGTTATAACCATCTTTCTCAAAAGAAGTCTATGTTACTCAGCATAATCAAATAAAAACTGAAGCATATCTAAACGTACTTTAATCACATTACAGTGGCAACATTACTTCATGCAGCATGCTAATATTGTGTTAAGACACATCTTTGTCTAGATATCGACAAACTTAAAAGATATCTCATTTTGTTTTGTTAGAAAGACATCCTCGAGGCTCTTTATTCTGGAGACAACAACAATATTGATATATAAGGTAGAATCATATGTTACAGAGAATTCTCGGTAGAATCATCCGTCAGAGAATATTAGTAGTATTGTATGTTCAAGAAAATTGTAGTATACGTAAGAAAAAAATTTAGTGGAATCATGTGTTAAGTCTTAGACAGAATTCTTAATAGAATAATATGCTAAAGATAATTCTTAGCAGAATCAAATGTTAAAGAGAGATTTGTGTAGAATTGTATGTTGGAAAGAAACGTTAGAAAAATTAAAACAAGAGAGAATTGTTAGCAGAATCATGTCAGAGTCATCAAACATCTTTTTAGAAATAACTAGAATCATCAAATACAATGCAAATGATTCGATGACCACTTAAAATTGAGTTGCACTCAACCAATATATTTAATACTTCAGCATAAGATTACCAGATCATCATCTTCAGGGCAATCGCCCTTCTCATGGCTTTCCCTAAGCATTTTATTCTCTTCTTCAAGCTGAGCACAACGTTCCCTTGTAAAGATAAGGTCTGCTTTGACAGTCTTCAATTCCCTAAGAAGAAGTTTTGCCTTTGCAGCCATTGCATTTGCAACCTGCATATAGTAGAAGCTAACTAATTCATCCAATTGAAAGGGAGAAAAAAAGTAAAACCTCCTTCAATATCTTATTCTAAAGCCACAGAAAAAGGAAACAACTCCAGCAAACATATATCTAAAGATCCGCTGCAAGACTTTGCTAAATTACTCGATGCTAATCTGGCTGGTTGGGCAGTGAATAACAGAGGTTATGAGAACAGACAAACTAATCACTACAATAATGAGCGAACCATGTGGAACAGGAAAGTGTTCATCGCTTGGTTCTTTTAATACTCCGGTCTTTTATGTTCAGATACAGTAGCATTTTTGCCTTGTTGTAAGATCTAATGATTGTCATGACTCATGATAACCAGAAGACATGAACAAGCACAAACTCAAGGAATCTTTCAGTTGACTCAAGAAAGCAGAAAACTTATGTCAAACACAACCCATTTCAGCAATACACATTTGCCACCTTACGTCGCGAGATGCCTTCAGTTGAGTTTCATATTCAGTTTGAATCTGAGGGATATATTCTTGACCCAACTTTTCTGCAGCCTGACCCTGCATGGTGGCAGCATTTCCTTTTCTCCTTATATTAAGCTTACGTGTTTCATGGATAATGTTGGCTGTCTTATTCTCCACAATTGTAAGACCCTCCTGTAAAAATCAGGAAAAATATTACTTAGATAACATACTAATGCAGAAATGAAGCAGTGCAGGAAGCAAATTTAAATGAAGAACATCCACCGATTTGGTGCATGACAGATTGCATATAGTTTTGTAATAAGGACTATATAGTATCACAAAGCTTTGGATTCAAGTTTCCTGAATCTTAAGTGAGAATAAAGTTCCTACACTCCAGATAGAAAAAATCGACGAGTCCTTGAATTTGTTGCAAAGAAAAAATATTGACCTATATTTATCCATTAGATGAAAGAAAAAGGTTAACTAAAGCAGAAGGTTTCCTCCAATCCAAGATGTGAAGAGGGTCAAATGTACAGTGACTCAAACTGTGGTCAACCAAGTTAGAAAGAACAACCTTATTGTGACATGAAAGCTCGTGCTCAGATTAGTTGGAAAAGAGCAACTTAAATCAGATTTCTGTTAGTTTGACAAACCAAGCTAACAATATATAACAATACAGCAGTAATCATATGCACTTCTGCTCAACTTGAAAGTAAACAAATCTTCAAAATTGTAAATTCATTATGACTTTTAATCATTGCTTCTGATATTGCTTCTAAATTCTAACAGAATCTGTTGCAAAAATGAAAGAAAGTTTGGCAGAACAGTCATACATATTGAGCAGAACAGTCACAAAAAATAAATGCAAATCCAAGAATTTACTGTTTTGATTATGCAGGAACCTTGTGGATTTTATCAACAAGGTTGGCAGAACAGTCATACATATTGAGCAGGAGAGTCACAAAAGATAAATGCAAATCCAAGAATTCACTGTTTGATTATGCAGGAACCTTGTGGATTTTATCAACAATGTTTAGAGAAAAAAAAATCACCAAACTCAATGTTCTATTGGAAATTGTGAGTATATGGGGGAGAAGTTTTAAAGATAACAACTCACCTCAATAGCATTTTTTATTGTGCCACCAATATGGTTAAGGGAAGAACCAATCGCATCCGAACGTTTATGAGTTGTTTCAGTTTTTTGATATATCTCAGGTGACGGATCCACATGATGAAACTGCACCAAATAACAATGATAATGATACTGTTAAAGTACAACATTGTTGAAATTGCATGATGTGGATTAACAGGAGGGGCGTAAAGAAAAGAGCTTCCACCTCCCCCAATCCACATACAAACATAAAAAGGAAAGCGAACGAGAGAAAAAAATAAAGGGGGCCCAAATTAGCCCAAGTGAGGGGGCAAAATAAACCACAACACACGTCCCCAAATTTCTATGGTTGTGAACTCCAAGGTGATGATTATTGAACTAATAAGTGATAATTTGATGTACAAGGATAATTGATCAGTCAGATTCTTCCACAATCAGCTGACTTACAACAACTACTAAAATATTTATTTCACAGCAACATTGAACCAAAAAAGTAGGCCTACAATGACAGAATTTCAACTCCTAAACTTTGGCAAATAATAATAGGATCCATGATTTGATTCTTACCCGATCAACAGTTGACCTGCCAAATGTCTGATGCGGGTTCCTCTCAAGCGCTTGAAATTGATTGTTTGTATCATCATTATCAACATATGATTTAGCTTTCCTGGCTAATGTCCCCCAGAATCCATATTTGGACTCATTTAAATTTTTCATCGATATGTATTCATAGGATTCAGAGTCCTGCATCGACAGTTATAGACTTCATAAGAATGAAGAGAAGAAAATATAGGAGATCCTAAGTAAGCACATGTTATACATCAAATGCTTAAGGCAGGAAAGAAAAGCAACAAAATCCTTTCATAAGCAAAGGCTTCATTTCTCTATATGAAAATGGATATGTTATTCAGGATTGATGTTGTGGCTGTGATCTTAAATTTTCCATTTAATCTATAATCATGTGGGCATTAAACTTTTCCATGACCAGATCAACAAAATGACCAGCCCTCTAAACTGAAGAACCAAAGCATGCTAAATAAGTTGATCTTTTGCAAGAGGGGAGCCTGCTATAAAAAGAATTTCAAAGCCACTCAGCAGGAAATCTTGCTTAGTGGTGAAGGACTTAAACCATACTACATCTCTTTTTGAAGAAGAGTGACTTATCCTAGTTGATGTCAACAAGTCATAACGTCCTAACTCATGAAGCACAGACACTCCGAAATGCTCGCCACATCCATGACGGACACCAGCACTTGTAGAATTTCAGCCATATGGTCACATAACCATTCCAACACATCTCTCCTATCAGTTTCAACATATATGTCAGGTTCCAAAGAGATGCTATGTCCATGACTGGTACACAATTCAACTAAATAATGCCACTGTATCAACTTTCTAGAGACGTAATCTGCAACCAAAAATCTCCCCAAATCACCATGTTTGACTAACAAATTCAAACCCAAATTCAAAAGTAAGAACAAAATGAACATATAGCCAACATTTGGCCATTTCTGCTCCTTTCATTCTTGAGCGAAAGATCAACTGATCAAAAGAGAAATAGCCCACAAGCTATAATAAATCTAATAACACCAAGAAATCACTTCCGGAATGATCAAACAATTTAAGAAAACTATAACATAGTTCTGCTAGTAATAAAAAGTCAACTCTGCATAAATTGACTAATCCGCTGCCAAATAAATCCAAAAAATTCTGCTAGGCATAAAACCGGATGCGTAAGTCATATTTCACTAATTGCAACACTGGACAATTATTGGAACCAGAGATTTCGACTTCCCTAATCGATTTGAAGCGCAAGATGAACCACAAAGACTAAAATATTGATCGCAAAATCTTCTATTAGAAAGATAAAGAAGCAACGATCCGAAAAAGGAAAACAGTGCTCAAGCACGAAGCATACCAACAGAAGAAGCGAATTAATTCGGCGAGAGGAGAGCTCACCCGCTGCGGAGGAGGCGACGATCTCATCCGATGGGATTCGTTGTGGGGAGAGGATACGGCAGACTCTCCATAGGCGGAGGAGAGGGAGGAGGCGTCGCGGTGGGCGGCGGAGGCCCGGATCGCGCGCGTGGCCAGGGACGCCTGCTCCTCGGCAGCAGAGGCGGCGGATCGTGGGTCCTCGAAGGTGGTCGAGATCCTCGCCGCCGGCTGCTTCCTCCGGTACGCCATCGCCTCTCTCTCGCTCGAGTTGGTCCGATACCAAACAGCAACTCTTCCTTTTGTGATGGTGTACTTAGCTGTGCGAGGATCCTCTCCAGAATGTACCAAGAATCAAAAGCTTGCAATCTTCGATCTCACCGTTCAGTTTTTCCACGTACGCACCTATTTCAATCAAACGGTCACGCATACATCAGACGACAACCATCCATAATTAGTTGGAGAGGATCCCGTTGGCCTTTTGTTCGGGAGCGGCTACCGTGAGGGACACTCTCCGGATGCTGACGCGTTGGCTTCTCAGTGGCCGATATCTCGTTGACGGGCTTCCTGCGTGAGTCATGCACTAATATAGAATACAGAAGAGATCCAAAATATCAATATATATATCTATATATCTTAATGAAGGAAAGAGCAACGAGATTGATTTCGATCGATTCGTTTTGGGAAATCCAAGATTTATTTTCATATATATATATATATATATATATATATATATATATATATAATTTTTATGCTATATTAAATTCATTTAAATTGTGGACCCCTTAGTCTCACTTAAGTTCAGGTGCACTCACCGGGTAGGTGTTATAGTTGCGCTCTCTTTATCTCTTCTAAGGTAGGCACAACTTCGAAGGTTGAGATCTGGCAGGTGAGCTTACCGCAAACCGACAGGGTCATAGAGTGCACTGCGGTGAACGGAACGCTACCAGTACGATATCTTTCCGGTAAGCTCACCGAATACCAGGAGGGTGATCGAGTGCCCAAAAGAATTTTAAAACAGCCTTAATCATTTAAATTGAATACTGCTACTCGTACCCATGGTGAGCAGAACGCTGCAGGTGCGAAATCTTGCCGGTGAGCGTACCGCATGCACGCAGGGTGTGACAAAGTGCCCAAAAAATCTTTCGAATGAGTTCACTTGGTATCAGACGCGGTGAGAGCAGACCGGTGAACGTACGGAAGTTTCAGGTGAGCTTACCGCTCACCAGCAAATCAAAACAGGTCTTCAAACGGTTTCGAATCATTTAAATCTCGTATTATTCGGTGAGCAGAAGAACTCTCTACAGAAACCGTATTCGAACTCGACGAGTACAACCGCCCGCGTCGGTACGCTTCTAAGGCTTACCGCACACGAATGTGGAGAAACTGCCCAAAATAATTAAGGCCACATCAAATGAACGATTACCACTATAAGTGCATAAGTTGGCATGAAATAGAATTCAAATTTGGCATCATGATAGGTGTTGATGCATAATGCCAATGTAGATACTTTTTCTCAATTGTTAGCATATGAAAGTTTGAACATAACCTGATATTGAGAAAAATGTTCTGATACCTAACATTTATCTGTTACAGAAAGATTAAGAGATATTTGGAGAAATATGCTGCCATCTCCAACGAGGATGGGGAGATTTTATTATAAGAAATATATCTCAATGTACAACAGCTTAGGAATAACACATTTGTGTATCTATACTGCATACCACACTCGAAAAGGAAGAAGGGCATTAGATTATCGTCACCTTAAGGCATACCGGACGACATCACATGAGGATGATAAGAACAGAGTTCTGTTGTTTACGACTATGACCCCATGGAAAGCTGCAAGGCAAACCAGACTTGCATTACATAATGTCACAACGGGGTCGAATAGGGGATCGTATATTTTGGTAGGTTTTTGTTGACCGTAAAGGCAGCTTTCGATGAAGACCTCCCTCCTATGTTCAGAATACAGAGCCAGTGCTCGAGAGCTTCAAGCTTCTACTTTTGCCGCAACATCCAAAACATCATTGTTGTTCTGTTGGGCCCATAGCTGTGCATACCTTCCAGCCCTTGACAGCAAAACTTCATGCGGACCATGTTCTACTACCTTTCCATTTTCCAAAACAATAATCTGCAAATCACAACCAAAAGTGGGTCACCAGAAGAATGGATGTCAATGTCATGAAAGCAATACAAGTCTGTCAATCTTTTAATAATAATGTAGACCAAACATGTAAATCGAGTGTTTCCAAAAAAAGATCAGAACACATAACAAGGCTAGACCAGGTAAACCTGTTTAAAATAACAAAGGTATTAACGAACAATTTCCGCAAGACTTGCTTTATTGGTTTATCCAGGTTGATATTGGTTGATTAATGTAGATGTTCGTACTCAAGCACATAAGATCATAATTTAAAATACAGGTTGGGTCAGATGAGTATCATCCAATATTTAATCCTCAAACCAAGTCACTATCAGACCTCTGATATTTACTGATCCAAGCAAGTTACTAGCAAACCATACAACTTGGTATCTCAGTATATTTTACTTTATTTTTTTTTTCAAATAATACCAAATGGTATAAATTGTGAACTGTTACAGTATCTGGGAACCATACCCATCCTTCAGGTTATCAAAATTGGTTATGAACCACTAATTAAAACCTTGAATAATACAATGGTAAAAAAGCTTAGAAGACTGAACGGTAAGATGAAACACAAGACTGCACAAGGAATAAAGCAGGAAAATACTTCACACACCAAAAAGGGGAAGGGAAAGACAAGAATAGCTAAAAGATATTTGTAAGACTTGAAAATACAGCTTGACAGATACCAAACACAGACGCTGAGAGATGATGGTATATCATTACTGGCTTGACGGTTGACAGTTGGGACCGTGTATCACCATTACACTTATCAGTCAATATGACCAAAAGTAGTATATTTTTTACTATCTTAAAAAGACCAACAGCAATCCTAATCAATTGGTCTTGAGGTGATAAAGATTATTATTGGGATCTTAAAAAGACATGTGCAGGCTATAAGAGTACACATCATTCCTATCTTAAAATGATCAATGTATATACGCAAACAGACATTATGTATGTGGGTGTGATGGTCTAGGGAAGTGTGGATTAAGCATTCTGAGGCTATAACAACCTCAAATTGGCCAAGTACCCAAAATGGTGACTCATGAACAGCTAAATACTGTAGCTATTTAATTGCTGATGCAGTACATGAAACAAAATCTACTGGATAGGTCTTTTGATCAAGTATTATTTTCTTGTTTAGTTTACATTTAAAGTTTAGTTTATGGATCCAATATGAAGATCTCTAAATTGAGTTTAGAAATGTGACAATATTCACCCTATTGTAGCCTACATGGTAATTCTGCAAGGACTTCTCAATGATAATTTCTAGAATGAAACCCTAGTTCACAAGTTCAAGCTTGGGTTAGGCTGTTGCCTGGAATAAGCTTGAGAAGGTCGGAGGTGGTGGGTTAACAGTAATAAGCTTTTCTCATATTAAAAGTTAAGCTTAGAAGGTCTTATTAGGTCAGTCATATATCTTTATGAAGGGGCACCTGTTGGTTCCTTCAATGTATTCATGTTGGTAATCTGTTGATGGCCTCTTCTTTTCTGATGTGTTTGTTTCCTCTTTTTATCATCTTTCTTGTTGTTCTTCCACTGATGGTCATACCTTATCTTGTTGCTGGTTTCCTGTGAGAAAAATTTCCCGTTGGGTTGCTCTGGCTTTGACCAAATTATAATGCAATTTGCTTATATGCTTCATAATTTGAGATTGCTCATCTGAAATTAGATTTTGTATGCACTAACTGCCAATGTGTTTTATGCATCAACGATTAACCACCGAGCAAAATTTGCTGCATGCTCTTCTATGGAAGATCTATAAAAGGTTAGGAAGATAGTCTTACCTCTCCATCTAAGGATGCAAACTTTGTAATATAAAACCATTGATACCATGAGGCGACTGTGTCAATTCATGATGTAGATTATAGAGTAACCATAATGCATTTGCTGGGAGTCGAAACCAAGTCTACTACTTGGAGATTATCAGATCTGGTTCTTACCTTTTGAATGGAACTATCCAAAAAGTGACTAAGTTGAAGACATTAAAGATAATATAATTAACTTAATTCTAGTGAGAGGAGAAATGAAAATGAGGTTTGATTAGATCAAAGTTAAAATGGTGAAGTAACATGTTCAGATCAAGCAAACCAGAAATTGTTCAATGAGACTTGCCTGGACAGGTCGGAAGTTTGCATCATTTCATACTAGAAAACTGACTATTGAATGTTGAGTGTGTTTACTAATTGAACTATGCAACTCATATGCAGAAAAATAGTCTAGCACAAACAACAGTTTATTCTATATTCCACTTGAGAAAACCAGGATACAAGGTTTTATCAGGACGATATGAAGAGATAATAAAGAAAAGATATAAATACACATCTATAACCCAAACACTCAGATAATATTAGTTACCTCATCACACTGCATAGCAGTGGTAAGTCGGTGAGCAATGAAGATTGAAGTGCGATTATTTGCTAGAGTCTTCAATGCATTCAATATTTCAGCTTCAGTTGTACTATCAAGGGCACTGGTAGCTTCATCACACAACCTAGAACCTCAATGCGGTTAGCAAGCTAAGCATTTAACACATTTAAGAAAAATGTGAATATATAATTCAAGGGACAAACATGAGTAAACAAAAAATTTCAGTTTCCCCGTCAATTCCGGAGGTGAGCCTTTTCTCATCCAGTGCAGTACACTTCTTACAATCATTTTTGGACTTTTTAACTTTCTCGAACGTCAAATATGTATAAACTCACTAAACTCCTCATAATGACAAAGCTAGCAGACCGTGCATTAGCAGTTCATGAAACTTGACACATATATGCTTCACCGTAAGTTTATATGTTAAAAGCCAAAATGCAGAAATTTACCACCAGACTTGGAAGAACTAGATAACTAAAAAATAGCAACACTTACCTCAGAAGTACCACCCATCAATAGAGAAATTTTACAACTAACTTTGGATCTTAAAGACTTAAACAACCATGACCATCGCCACTAGATTTGGTCAAACTTAATATCTGGCAAGGAACCACCTAGACATGGAAACAGAAAAGTCCAGTTTGGTAATAAGCAAACTTAACAGTTACAAGGAGAAAATTCAAATTTAATTCACAGATGGGAATCTCCGTGATATCAACCCCCAAATGTGGTGCCAGAATCCTAGCTAAATGTGCATCAAGGCAAAAAAGGGTTAACACCTAATAGACTAGCTGACAGGTATAGATCTATCATATATTTTTGCAGTTTAAGCCCATGTAACTGAGTGACTAGGGAACAACACCTGGTAATTCCCAAGATTGTAGGAGTTCTTGGCATATTAGAGGGTTTTATTAGGGAGAGGATAATCCTTTCACATAATCATTACGGTAGGCAAACCTAAATAACTGTAAGCTAATGGAATTGTAAAGCATAACTCTTAAGTAACTTGTAACTTGTGAAAGGATCCCACATGATCAATGCCAAGACGAAGCTCACATAAAACATTAAATATCTTACCAAATTTTAATGAGAGGTGATATAAATGTCTCTAACAAGATGTATAACTTTTACATGATAATAGTGGTCTAGAAAGCTTTTCAAAGAAGAAAAAAGAACTATTGAAAGAGCATATAAAAGTGATGACCTAGTTGCAGTATCTTTTACTCGATGAATACTAGGGTCTTAAAAGTATCTCCATTAACCTAACAAAAGGCAAGGAGTCTGTCATTAACCTTCAAAAGATTCAAAATAAGAAAACCATTTAGCAGAAAATTCACAAAACTCACAATCGTAGGTGCATAATTTTTCAGATGGATGACAGAGCATCCAATTGAAGGTATCACAAAATTTGTAAAACATCTTGATTTAAATAGATACAAATTATGACAAGTAATCACAAAATTGATATACTTACAGAATTGAAGGTGCTTTCAAGAAGGCACGGGCAAGTGACACCCTCTGCTTTTCCCCACCACTCAACTGTGAAAAGCACAACACTAGCTTCTTGTCAAATGCATTAAACTTCAGCAAAAGGCAAAAACATATAAAATAAATATTTGCAAACTATACATCATGCGGAAGTCATCAAGTAAGGCCACTACACTAGCAGAAACCTTGCAAAGGAGAAGGTCAGATTCACAGCCTTCAGATTTTTTATAATTGGGCGTCTGCAAAGAACTAAAATCATTCTATACAATTGTTAGCAAGGTTTATCTGTTAATAAGTTGAGTGACAATTAAGTAATAACTTCACTTGTGGTAAGGTACCAACTCAAATTATCTAAGACATTCTACATAAATTTCCAGCATATTGCATTATTACTTCACAGTTGAAGAAATCTACCATCTAAAACAGTGAACAGTGATAACCCACCTTTAAACCTCGCTCTCCGACAATAGTTGAATACTTCTCTGGAAATTTCATGATTGTTTCATGAATAGCTGCATGTCGAGCAGCATCATAAACCTATATGAACAAATGCAAGAATTTACAGTAGCTCCACAAGATTTTACATGAAAGTTGGTAAGAGTAATTAACAATCACTAACCTCCTCCTCAGTTGCTGATAACCGACCATAACGTATATTGTGAAATATAGTATCATTAAATAGTACCTGAAAAGATGTCATTTGGGTTTACTTTAAAAAAATAAAACAGCTTTTTCTGGATGCACACATTTGCAAGAATTATTGTGAAGCTACGGGCAATTTGAGAGAAAACTAAATAAGCTTCTTTTGTGTTGTTTCTACTTTTGATTTTTTTTTAAATATGAAAACAGGAAAGGTATGCATTCGATTTCTTGTCTATCAAACCCTTTCCATCATTTCTGTAACTTTTGGAAGAATAAAGTTCGAAATTCAAAAAAATGATTTAAAAACTGGGAAACCAAATCCATGAGATTCATCATTATCATAATCAAGATTGTCAATCCTATTCTTCAAGGAGTAGATGCACATATTCACAATTGCATCTGACAGGTAGATGGTGACCACCTAACTTGCTCCAGAAGCAACAAGCCCAAACTTGTCTCTTACTCTAAAAAATGCAAAAAAGCAGAAATGGCTTGGAACAAAGCTTAAATTATTAGTTATTACAGAAAGTTTGGTATGAATGTCGAAGTTCAACAATCAGAAACATCACTTGAAAAATATGACAGTTTAGACGGCTGGTAAACAGGAGTCTGTGACTGTGTAAGTAAGAAACAATGATGTTCAATGAGATTAGAAGAGTTTAAATCCTTGTCAATTAAGACGATATCCAAATCAAACAGAGTAGACAGATCCTGTTGCATAAGAAAATGAGTTCGTCATTTCTTAACTGACTATAAGAGTTGAAATTATTTTGAGTTAGGCAGTCATTGATCCTACAAAAGGGTGGACAAGAATGGTTTCTTGTCTATTTAGAGAGACTGCAAATAACAAAAAGCACTGGAACTTAGAGACAGGAAGTATCACCAATCATAAGGTGGATAGTGTCAGTATCATGCACCAAAGTCATCTTCCACAAAAGGCTCAATATCTAGCAGATGCATCTAGCCAATCTATGATAAACTTCCTTTCTTGAGTTCTACTCTGTAAGTATGTTGGCAGCAGCGATTTAAAAAGGCGCTTGGGCGCTCGGGCGAGGCGAGGCGAGGCCCGAGCGCCTCGCTAATCTTCCAGGCGGCGCGCTTCAAAGAGGCGCCGCTTGGGCGCTTGCCCGAGCCCAGGCGCTGGGCGCTTCGAGCGAGCGCCTGGGTTAACCAAGGCGATCGAACCAGGATTTTAGGTCTGGTTCGGTCCTGGTTCGGTCTCCGGTGGTTAGTTGGTTCAATCAAACCAACTAAAACCGATATCAGTGACAACCCAACCCTAACCCTCGTTGTCGCTGCCGCTGCCGCTTCCGATCCCGATCCCGCTGCTCGCCGCTATCGCTGCTCGCAAACGCTGCCGCCGCTCACACCTCTCGTTGCTCGCCGCTCCTGCTGCTCGCCGCTGTCGCTGTCGCCGCTCGTGCCTCCCATTGCTCGCCGCTCCTGCTCTCGCTCCCGCTGCCGTTGTCGTCGCTCGCCGCTGCCTCCTTACACTCCGCTGTCGCTTCCTCTTTTCTCAGTCAGCAGGCTCAGCACCCCCTTACACTTCCTTCTTCTCCTTCTGTTAACAGTATACAGTATACTGTATACTGTTAATATTATTACGTTTATTTGAAATTATTAATTTTCAATACTGTTAATAGATTAATAATATATTATTTTGATTTTAATACTGTTAATTATTATTTATTTGAAATTATTACTAAGTTTCAAGATAAATGGCAAGTGTACAGAGCAACTCAATAGAGTCTCCAATGACATCAAAAAAGATTCAATGAAGATGATTTATGTGAAAATGACGATAATATTGATTATGATGAATGACTTTAATATAAAATTTTATTGTTTTGAATTTTGAAACTTTTTGTTAATGTGACATTGTGATTTTGTATCTTAGATTTTCTTAATTTAATAGCATATTTTAATTTAAAATTTTAAATAATTATATTTATTAATTATATTATATATTTTTATATTTTAGCGTCTCGCTTCGCTCGGGCGAGCGCCTAGTGACTCGGGCGTTTTTGGACCTTGGCGCCTAGCGCTTTTTAAATCATTGGTTAACAAGCAAATATCTGATTTTAAAGAAAATAAATGCAAAACATAAATCTTCTCATTGTAATTATCTTATCCTTTATGAGATATATTTGCATTAATTCACTGAATTGACTGAAGAAGGGACAGGTTTACTGAACCTTACAAACTTCAAAGTTCTTATTCTGTGAAAGAAACATATAATTAGAGTGGGAATCGAGGTCCTTATTATCGACAGTATGATAGAACTAAACTGCCCATAACAGAAGTCAACTTGCAGATGGCAACATAGAAAGGTTAAATACAGAAGTATTTGTTCAAGAACCATGGACGAGGGAAATGAAAACATCCCTAGTTAGACAGTTATGTGTGCCATGAGCTTCTCTCACAATAAATAGTGAAAATTATTCAGTTTCTAGATAACTGAAACTGTTAAACCATCCTTTGCTGCTACAGAAGTGGCTAGAAAAGCTGCAGGAAGTTGGACACAAATAAAACTGGGAGACAAGCTACTTAAAAGAAAATTTGTAGCACTTCCATGCCATCTGAATACAACCAGGTCGACACAAACATCAATGTGATCAACTATTATGGATATTCAGACATTTGAGTACTATATGGTTTAGTTCTCATTAGCTTGATCATAGCAAAGATTGTCACGCCAATCATCATATGGCAGAACAAGTCAAAACATACTATACCAGAAGGGTATAGCCACACATCATTTCAGAGTCTAAAATTCAGACTACTATATCAGAGGTGCTGAAATAAAGCCACATCATTTTTTGGTTTATTCCAGAAAGGTAACAGCAAGCCCTCAAGCCACAACATAGCATTCCTTGATCAAGAAAAGATAATTTGAATCATGCAAACAAGAAACGTGATCTAGTGTAAGCAACTCATGAACTCTTTTAACAAAAAAGAAAATAGTTTGCCAGACATTAATTAGCTATGCATCTTCATCATTGTAAAAGTGACTTGTTAATAAGCTTGAACTATGTTTTCACCGATATAAGAGATAGCAAGAATTAGATAATTTGAATCATGCAAACAAGAAACATGATCCAGTGTAAGCAACTCATGAACTCTTTTAACAAAAAAGAAAATAGTTTGCCAGACATTAATTAGCTATGCATTTTCATCATTGTAAAAGTGACTTGTTAATAAGCTTGAACTATGTTTTCACCGATATAAGAGATAGCAAGAATTAGATTCAAAAGGATATATAGAAGAAAATTTTGAAGGAGATGGTTGCTTGAAAAAAACCTACTGTATCCTGTGGTACAACACCAATGCACTTGCGAAGACTTTCCAAGGTCACTTCTCGTATGTCTTGACCATCGACCCATATCTGTAAGCAAAATTTTATTGAGGTTAAATCGAACAAAGAAGCAATTACACATTAAGGACACTCGCAACACTGTTTTGGTGGTAAATGACAGTATATACATAACTTCATGATTGTCCATGTTAACCACAAGTATCAAATTTTCAAAATACAATAAACTTAAAGACTACAATTAGCATAAGCACTTCATATGACAAAATAACCAATCACAAGGTACTTAAAGCCAAATGCACTAGTCCATGGGTGCCAATAAATCAGCTTAAATCAATAGTGTCTGATTTTTTTATTTACATTGTTCACTGGCCTTGTGATGACATTCTTAAAAATGTCATTAGATGCAACACAACAATGCAGCATTGATAATGCCCACAATCTTAACTAGAATATGCAGGGATTAGCACAAAACCAACAAGGTTCATTGAGTATGTAACATTTTGCTAGGTTATTGGTTATGACTTATGTCCATATTAAAATGATGATGTGATTATTTCCATTCGTGTTGCAAAATCCATTGATTATTTAAAATTCAAGCTTGAATGAGATATAGCACACATGAGCTTATAGAACTGATGCTAGTAATAGCCTGGTCAACTGTGATATAAAAAATACAGTCCTTTAGATCATATATTGGTTAGAGAAAGAAATATGCACTATTAAATATAATTTCCCATGATATTTAAATAGCTCCACAATAAGTACATAATTATTAAAAAAAATGAAAGCAAATATTATTTAAATATGAAAAATTTTAAAGTTGCAGCATCATGTCCTATATCTACAGACTATGTACCTTTGAGCGTCACTATCTTCCAACGACTTGGAGGAAACACAGCAAGGTATTAATATAAAAGTCTCAATATACACTAACATATAAAAGAATAGGCAAGAACAGCATGTCAAGTGCTATTAGCTGCAGCTCTTTACATTTTAATTTAGGCCCTTCTTACCTGCTCCTTTGTGGTGACAACAACAAATCATACTAGCAAGTTACCTATCAACCTTATCAGATGGCAAATATAACCTTTATATGAGTAATCCTCAAACTTGGAGCTATCTTTACAAAATCACTTCATTTCTCGGAACATGCAAAATAAATTTGGACTAAATCCCATGGAGCTCATAATTTAATTAACATGAAGGCAATTCCTAGCAAGCTTCCATCAAAATGAAACTCTTATTAGATATGTGATCCTCTTGACCAGGGTTCTCCATTAGAGATGTACCGCTCGGTATGGGCAGTACATACTGGTTCGATAGGGGCTCAGTACGCGGACCGCTCTCTACCAGGTGATACTCGTTACATGACCCGTATCGAGTAATATGGGGTTTGTACCAATCGATAACATCGAAAGCCGATCGTTACCAACGGTACATCCGACCATTACCAACCGGTATCGATAACGGTCGAATTTTGACCGTTACCAATCAAGGGATTAGATTTCCCTATTTCAAATGGTCAATTTGACCATTTGAACCTTAAGAAAAGGTTTTTAAACTCTTTCGTCTGCCACAATCGTCCACCCAACGTCCAAAGGCAAATGCAACGGGGAAAATAGTACATCAGCTGCACTGTTGGAAAGAATCGAGTCGGGTGATGAGACACCTTCTCAATCACATTCAACAACACACTCGATCCAGAGACATGACAGCAACGTGGACAGTAGTGCCTCGACTGATGATAGCAATGGCGTCGAGGAGTCAATGGTCTCGTCTACACAATTTGAGGGTGGTGCGTAGACTGAGTATTATTTTACATGTCACCCAAGATTCAAATCATAGAGCTCAGCGAGATACAATCAAGTTTATATACAGAATGAAAACGGGTAAGACATGGATAATTTTAAGCAGACACGATTGAGCCTACACGACGTAGACACAAAGCGAAACTCATCGCATTCACAACCGTTATATCATAGAGAATCTTACGACCAACAGCAATACGATGATAGTTAGTCATACTTCTCTGAGCAGTAGTACCATGATCGATCTTATGATACGGAGCAATAGATCAATGGCGAAAGTAGAAGTTCTAACATTCTTCATACTCTGCACTAATACATGCTAGAATCATTCTTGCCTCAGGAGCCGCCTTGGATATGTGGATCACGACAATCAGACTACGAGCATCACCTCATCGATGCACCAATAGCATATGGTATATCAGTATACTATGTTGTGAGATCATTTTCAGGATTGGGTCCGACAAACATATCAAATTGATATACAAATACATAGGATCAAGAACCTCAATCTACCACCTGTGGTGTCCCGTCATTCTCTTTGGTGGTAAAATCAGATCTATCCATCGATTGATTACTTGATTCATTTGAGTCTTAAAATGAAAATTGTTTAAAAATAATCTAACAATTCAAATCATTTCTTTGTAGATAATTCAATATTAACGGAAGGAAGGTCCAGAACGTATTATAAAATTACTCTGGAAAGCTCCGAAAAGATAGGTGTCACTATTTTTTTCCTAATTTAGATTATTTTTAATTTATATTTATTTCTAACTTAAAAATCCTAATCCAACTTCTTTCTATTTTTCAAGAATTTTTAGAGCTATTTTCGATAATTTTACCATATCATCGATACGCCCAAGCGTACCGACATATGGTACGTCGGTACGGCTCTATGGCATGTTGGTACACTAGTGACTGGTTGCTCCTAACACTCATTTGGTTAAAGACCCAATAGATCAACCACACATTTAGTAAACAATAGATTATGGTGTCATGTTTTGTACTATAGTTGTGGAAGATAATTTGATTAAGGGGTTGGTTGGTGATGGGAAAAGAATTTGGCCACATCAAACATATACTTGTTTGGCTGGATGTTTGACAAAGTGGATGTTTAAAGCATTTCCCCACCAAATGAAGAAGAGAAAGGAACACCCTATCTACAATAAGTTCAAGATAGTATGAGAAAAATCGAAGGATAAATTCAAGGTGTAATTTTTCCACAAGGTTGCCTAATCAGCTGATTGTTGTTCTCCCTTTTCTTTGATACACAAAAATAACTTCTTTCTAGTACCATCCATGTCTTAGATAAAGTAGAAAACAAGGAAAAAGAGAATCCTTTCATCAGTAGAGGTAAATGTTATTTGGTGTCTTTTATAGTCAGATCATAAATAAGACAATTTTATCCAATGTCTTCCACAAAACAATTCAATGACTTCTATAACTAATGCCAGTGCATATTGCATGACATACAATAAAGATTTCAGGATAAATACCAAATAAGCTCACAACCATGCTCTAATTCCTGGAATCTCAATGCATCTCCGAGGTCCAAAATATTGGCAACATTTATAATAGTGCAACTATGAAGTGCAAATTTGGAAAATGGATAGTAGGGCTCAAAGTCTTGGAATTGTTATTTTGTTGTTTAGCAGGATTAAAAGTGGAAAGGAAAGGTTTGGAGATACATTGGACTTTAACATTATATAGAGCCCAACAAGCATATATACAAGGAAAATATTGGACATAGCAAAGAACAGATTTGTTTTAGGCTAAACAACAAATCTGTTGTTTAGCCTA